ACCCCAAAACAGTGGAATATACATTCTCTTCAATAGCTCATAAGTAAGACAATTACAGTCCAATATCAGCCACAGGGAAAGACATGATCTCTTACCTGAAAAGTACCTAAAAGCAAAATGGACTGGGAGCACAGGTCAAGTGGTGCAGAGCCCACACACTAAGTGCAAGCCCCTAAGAACAAAACCCAGAACCACCAAATAAAGTCAAATAAAATATTAAGAATAAACTTAACTGAAGTGCTGAAAGATTTTTGTGAAAATAATTGACAAAAATAAGTAGAATGTTGCCAGCATTCATCGTTTGTTAAGAGCTAATGTTGCTTAAATGTCCATATTGTTCAAAGAAATCTACATATTCTTTATCAAAATTCCCATGACCCTTTTTTCAAAGAAATGGGGAGAAACATCCTAGAATTTCTATGAAACCACCAAAGACCCCTAGTAACAAAAAATTGCAAGCAAAAAGAACAAAACAGGAAGTATCACACTTTAAAACCTACAAATCTGCAGTAATAAAGAATCTATGTAAAACTGCATAAAAACATTCACAGAGACCCACAACACAGAACAGTACAGTGAGCACAGATACAATTCCACATATTTTTGGTGAAATTATATCATCACAGGCAACAACACACAATGTGAAAGGAAAAGATTGTTCAGTTAAAAAGGAATTAATGAAAGACAAGAAATAGGTATAATGTTAAACTATCAGTGAATATTTTAATAACATACAAAGTATGTTTCAGAACAAATATTAACAGAGAGAAAGGTCATCTCATGCAAAAGTCCTCATATCTCAATAACTGATACAAGAACAATTCTTCAAACAAGAATCAGTTTGATATATGTGATATTTGCATGATAGTTTCAGAAAATATCAGATTACTTTTTTTGGCAGCACTGGAGTTTGAACTCAAGACCTCCTGCTTGTGTTCCAGACCAAAGTTCTTCTTAAAAAATGCACATATATTTACCAAGTTAGATAATATTCTGGGCCATGAAATCAGTATCAATAATATTAAAATATTCAAATTACCTAGATTTATATAAAAATGTGCATAGCAACTTTATTTATAAGAAAGATCCCCAAACTGGAAGCAATACAAATATCCCTCAGCAGGTGAGAGGATTGCAAAATTGTGGTGTATAAGTGCAATTGAATTCTATAAATCTATGTAAAGCAATATTCTACTAATACAGATAAAAACAAGGTAAATAGTAAAATAACTATAACAAGAAAAATAAGTCATTTTTTAAAAGAAGACATACTATATGAGTCCATTTACACAAAATTCTAGAACATGCAAAATTAAATCAGTGGTTGTCTAGAGATGGAAGATTGGGGAAGGCCTGGAAGGAGAGGTTATCAAAGCACAAGGGAACTTTGGGGTGGAGGCACATGTTCCCTATACAGAATGTGATGGTGTTTTCACAGTTGTACATATGTGACAACATGTATTAAATAATGCATTTTAAATATAATAACTTTATTGTATGTCAATTGTTCTATAATAAATTTACTTTTTAATTAAACATTTTATTTATACTTATTAGCATATATTCACTGTATGGGGAGTTCATTATGAAATTCACATCTGTGCTTGCAATGTATATAATTAGATTCAATACCTCCATCAATTTCCCTCAGTCCTTTTTCCCTCTTTTGAAAAAAATTTCAACAGGTTTCATTATTCTATTTTCATGTAAGTATGTAAAGTACATTAGCTATATTCATGTTCCTTTGCACTCTCTGTTCACCCTCCCTGCCTATTGAAACAAACTTGACATGAATTAGGGAGCTTCATCAATGGATGTTTATGTTTGTGGTGTAGTATATTATCTCTCTTGCAACTGAAAATAAAATTTTAATTTATTTTGATTACATACATTACATAATTATATAATTACTGGAAAAATTGAAAACAGCATCTCCTTAGTACTTATTTGTCAAAGTAATTATTTTTAGAATTCACTAATTTTAATGCTGTTCTGATTTACATAAAGGTTTGCTTGTGTCCCTGTTCTGATTTCACAAGTCTGCAACATTTGATATCACTCCTACACAGAAATCCCCGGGATATGTCCAAGTCAATTATTTCCATGGTTCTTGTATTGTTCAGAACATAGAATAGGTAATTTTCACCCAAGGAACTTCTTCAGATAGTGAGTATATTGTCAGACTTGGGGACGCTCTTCCATAGATATTTTCTCCACTTATCAGAAGAGAACATGAAAGAGAATCTAACCTAAGAAAAGTAATTCTTTAGTAAGTCATCTCCATCTCTGTTCCTTTGTTTAAGACAACTTTTCCTGGACAAATCCAAGGTGGTGAGTGGGACATAGCTGCAGACTGCATGAGCTCTGTGAATCAGTGACCTTGCTAAGACACTGGGGACACACTTGGCTGAGGTAAAGCACAAGGGAGAGCCAAAAGAATGCACTCTGAACCCCTAGCTTGTGGAAGACTTCTCCACACCATGATTTACTACTAGAACAGCTGGACCACTGCCAACCAAGACCCTATTCCATAGGCCCACTGAGCCACTGCTCCACCAGTCCTCTGCCCTGCAGGCCCACCAGACACCCACTCTGCAGGCCCACCGGGCCACTGCTCTGCTAGTCCCCCTCCCCTACAGGCCCACCAGGCCCACCAAGCCCCCACCCCACCAGGCTGCAGCCCTGTAGGCCCATCAAGCTGCTGCCCACCAGCCTGCCTGGCCACTGCTTGGCAGGCAGTTACCCACTGCCCCACCAGGTATCTGCTCTGCTGGTCCACCAGGCCCCCACCTTGCAAGTCCACTGGGTTGCCATTCTGCCAGGTCACCATCCCGCAGGCCCACTAGGCCCTCACCAGCATGCCACCTGCCACAGGAGGGCTCCAACACCACCAGATGCAAGCTCCAAACCTGCCTGGGAGACACATACAGACAAGACTGGATGCTAGAGGTAGCACCAGAACAACTAAGAGTGTAATTCTACTGTTCCTGAACTGGTGATTTTCTTTCCCTTTCTTTAAGACTTTGGCTGTCTTGTTTGCTGTTTGATCGTCCACCATCTCTACCTGTTGTTTTCTTGATTCTCCACTTTTTTCTTTTTTTTTTCTCTTTCTTTCTCTTTTTTCTTCATTTTTCTTGGTTTTGTTAGTTTTAATATTGTAACTCAGCTAATGCTAAATTACACATAGTCCAGGAACAGAAACAGTACCCAGTGGAATTATGGGAAGACAAAAAAGAGATGGAAACAATTCTCCTCCCTCAAAATAAATTAGTACAGAATTCAGAGGGAAATGAAGAAAATGGATACCCAGATCAAGACACCAAAAAAAAAAAAAAAAAAACCAAACAAAAACAAAGAAAAACTATGCCACGGAACGCAACAAAGCCCAAAAGAACACCCCAAAAGAAGCAATCCTGCAAGTAATCAATCAGAATTTCATAGAGATGTTATTAGACATGGTCAACCAAAATGTACAGCAGGCACACAGAAATTCCAAGATAACAAAAATAAAGAGTATGAGAAAATACAACAAACAAATGAAATCATAGCAGACCTAAATAAATATCAAAGTGAAACCGAGAACACCACAAATAGGGAGATAAATGAATTAAGGATGAAAATTGACAATATTAAAAGGGAAGTGACACATGATATGGAAAACATCAGAAAAAAAAGAATGAAACAGAAATACAAAACAAAATGGAAGGCCATTCCAACAAAATAGAATAAACAGAAGACAGAATCTCAGAACTTGAAGATGAAATGGAAATTAAAGAAAAAATTGAAGAACTATTATTTAAACAACTCAAGTCCTATGAAAAGAAAATGCAAGAACTCACTGACGCCATCAAAAGACCAAACCTGAGAATCATGGACATTGAAGAAGGAGAAGAGGTGCAAGCAAAAGGAATGTGTAATATAGTCAACAAAATAATAACAGAAAATTTCCCAAATCTAAAGAAAACTATGCCCATTCAGGTACAGGAAGCCTCCAGAACACCAAACACCTGACCAAAATAGAACTACCCCACGACATATTGTCATTAAAACAACAAGTATAGAGAATAGAGAAAGAATATGGAAGGCTGTATGAGAGAAAAGATGAATAACATACAAAGATAAACACGTCAAACTCACAGCAGATTTATCAATGGAAACCTTAAAAGCAAAAAGAGCATGGAGTAAGATCTTCTGGGCACTGAATGAAAATAACTTCAATCCTAGGATACTCTACTAATCAAAACTCTTATTCATAATAGATGGAGCAATAAAAGTCTTCCATGACAAGAAGAAACTAAAACAATATATGATCACCAAGCCACCACTGCAAAAGATTCTCCAAGGAATTCTGCACAGAAAAAGTGAAAGCAAACAAAATCATGAAAGGGCAGGCAATATCTAACCATAGGAGAAGAAAAGGGAAGAAAGTAGAGAGTAACATTGATTAAGATGCACACAATCAAGCTCTTAAACAACAAAACAACTAAATGACAGGGATCACCATATACCTTTCAATATTAACAATGAATGTCAGTGAACTCAAGTCCCCCACCAAAAGATGCCATTTGGCAAACTGGATTAAAAAGGAAGATTAAACAATCTTTTGTTTACAAAAGACCCATCTCATTCACAAAAACAAACACTGGCTTAGGGTGAAAGACTGGACGAAGATTTACCAAGCCAATGGAACCCAAAAACAGGCAGGGGTAGCAATACTTATTTCAAACAAAGTAGACCTCAAACTTGCATTGATCAAACAAGATAAAGAAGGAACCTCCATACTAATAAAAGGGGAAATACACCAAAAGGAAACAACAATTATCAACATATATGCCCCAAACATCAACGCACCTAATTTCATCAAATATACTCTGAAGGACCTAAAAGCATACATAAATTCCAACACAGTGGTAGTGGGAGACCTTAATATCCACCCATCACCAATAGATAGGTCATCTAAATAAAAAATCAATAAAGAAATCCTAGAACTAAATCACACCATGGATCAAATGGACCTAACTATGTCTACAGAATATTTCATTGAACTTCTGCACAATATACTTTCTTCTCAGCAGCCCATGGAACCTTCTCCAAAATTGATCATATCTTAGGGCACAAAGCAAGCCTCAGCAAATATAAGAAAATAGAAATAATACCATGCATTCTATCTGACCACATGCATTAAAGCTAGAAATCAACAACAAAAACAGCAGCAAAAAACATGCAAACAATTGGAAGCTGGACAACACATTGCTTAATGATCAATGGGTCATTGATGAAATAAAAGTGGAAATTAAAAGGTTCTTGGAAGTTAATGAAAATGAAAACATGACCTACTGGAACCTGTGGGACACAGCAAAGGCAGTCCTAAGAGGAAAGTTTATAGCCATGAGTGCATATATTAAAAGGACAGAAAGATCTCAATCAATGATCTAATACTACAGCTAAAACTCCTAGAAAAACAAGAACAAGCAAATCCCAAACCAAGAAGGAAAGAAATAATTAAAATAAGGGCTGAAATCAATGAAATAGAAACAAACAAACAAAAAAAACCATACAAAGAATCAATGAAACAAAAATCTGTTTCTTTAAAAAAAATAAATAAGATTGACAAACCCCTGATTAAAATTAGGAGAGAAAAAACCCAAACCAGTAAAATCAGAAATACAAAAGGAGAGATAACAAACACCACAGAAATCCAGGACTTCATCAGAGACTACTTCGAGAGACTATACTCTAATAAATTTGAAAATTTTGAAGAAATTGACAGATTTCTAGATATTTATGACCAGCAAAAACTGATACAAGAGGATATTAATCACCTGACTAGATCTATAACAAAAAACAAAATTGAACCAGCAATTAAGAGTCTCCCAAAAAAGAAAAGTCCAGGACCTGATGTATCCACTGCTGAGTTCTATCAGACTTTTAAAGAACTAATACCAACCCTCCTTAAACTGTTCCATGAAATAGAAAGTGAAGGAACAGAGCCTAACTTATTTTATGAAGCCAGTATTACTCTCATCCCAAAACCAGACAAACACATCCAAAAAGGAGAGCTACAGGACATGCTCCATAATGAATATTGATGCAAAAGTCCCCAATAAAATAATGGCAAACTGAATCCAACAACACATCAGAAAGATCATCCACCATGACCTAGTCAGCATCATCCCATGGATGCAGGGGTGGTTCAACTTAGGAAAATCTATAAATGTAATATAGCACATCAATGGAAACAAGACAAAAACCACTTGATCATCTCAATAGATGTAGAATAAACATTTGACAAGATCCAACACCACATCATCATAAAAGCTCTAAGAAAACTAGAATAGAAGGAATGTAACTCAATATTATAAAGTTTATATATGACAAACCTACAGCCAACATCAGACTTAATGGTGAAAAACTGAAACCATTTCCCCTAAAATCAGGGAAATCCCCACTCCTATTCAACAGAATATTGGAATTCCTAACCACAGCAATTAAGCAAGAAGAAAAATAAAAGGAATACAAATAGGTAAAGAAACTGTCAAAATATCCCTATTTGCAGACAACATGATCCTATACCTTAAAGACCCAAAAAAATCTACCCAAAAACTCTTAGACACCATAAATAAATATAGCAAGGTGACAGGATACAAAATCAAACAAAAATCATTAGCTTTTCTATACACCAACAATGAACAAACTAAGAAGGAATATATGCAAACAACTCTATTTACAATAGCCCCCAAAATATCAAATACCTAGGAGCAAACTTAACAAAAAAAAGTGAAGGACCTCTACAAGGAGAACTACAAACCCCTGAAGAAAGAGAGTGTGGAAGACTACAGAGGGGAAAGAGCTCCCGTGCTCATGGGTTGGTAGACTCAACATAGCAAAAATGGCTATACTACCAAAACCAATCTACATGTTTAATGCAATTCCCATCAAAATCCCAATGACTTTCATCACAGAGATTGAAAAATTTACACTACACTTCACTTGGAAACACAAGAGACCACGAATATCCAAGCAATACTCAGCAAAAAGAGCAATGCTGGAGGTATCACAATACCAGACTTCAAAGTATATTACAAAGCAATAGCAATAAAAACAGCATGGTACTTGCACAAAAACAGACATGAAGACCAGTGGAACAGAATAGAGGACCCAGATATGAATCCACACAACTATACCCACCTCACTTTTGACAAGGTGCCAAAAATATACGATGGAGAAAAGACAGCCTCTTCAACAAATATTGCTGGAAAAAGTGATTACCTATCTGTAAGAAACCAAAGCTACATCCTTGTCTATCACTCTGTACGAGTATCAACACAAAATGGATCAAGGACCTTAATATCAGACCCAAAACTCTGAAGTTAGTACAGGATTGAGTAGGAAACACTCTGGAATTAATGGGTATAGGCAAGAACTTCCTCAATAGAACACCAGCAGCCCAGCAACTAAGAGAAAGAATGGTCAAATGGGACTTCATAAAATTAAAAAGCTTCTGCACAACAAAAGAAATTTTCTCTAAACTGAAGGACCACCCACAGAGTGGGAGAACATATTTGCCACTATAAATCAAAGTACTGATAATCAGAATATACAGGGAACTTAACAAACTAAACTCTCCCAAAATCAATGATCTAATAAAGAAATGGGCAACTGAACTAAACAGAACTTTCTCAAAAGAAGAAATTCAAATGGCCAAAAAACACATGAAAAAATGCTCACCATCTATGGCCATAAAGGAAATGCAAATCAAAACCACACTAAGATGCCACCTCACCCCGTTAGAATAGCCATCATTAAAAGCACTACCAACAAGAGGTGTTGGCGAGGATGTGGGGAAAAAGGAACCTTTGTACACTGCTGGTGGGAATACAAGCTGGTACAACCACTGTGGAAAAAAATTTGGGTTTCTTACAAATCTAAACATAGACCTGTCATATGATCCAGTAATCCCACTCCTGGGGACATACCCAAAGGAATACAACACAGGTTATTCCAAAGGCATCTGCACACCCGCTTATTGCAGTGCTATTCACAATAGCCAAGATATTGAAACAACCAAGATGCCCCACTACTGATGAATGGATCAAGAAAATGTAGTATTTATACACAATGGAATTTTACTCACCCATGAAGAAAAATGAAATTTTATCATTCACAAATAAATGGATGGAACTGGGAAACATAATCCTGAATGAGGTTAGCCAGACTCAGAAGACCAAAAATCATATGTTCTACCTCATATGTGGACTTTAGATCTAGGGAAAATACAGCAATGTTGTTGGACTTGGGTCACATGACAAGGGGAAAGCACATACAGGTGGTATGGGGATAGGTAGAAAACCCAAAACATGAAAGCGTTTGATGTCCCCACTCCAGAAGAACTAATACAGAAACCTTAAAGTGACAGAGGTCAACACGAGATGGGATCAGGAACCAGTGTAAAGATCAGTTAGAGATGAATCAACTTGGGTTGTAACACATTTGTGCATGGAAGAAATGCTAGGAATCTCTCTGTATAGCTATCTTTAACTCAATTAGTAAAAACACTTTGTCTTTCTTATTATGTTTATGTCTTCTCTTCAACAAAATTAGTGATAAGGGCAAAACAGGTTCTACCTGGAAGTGAGGGGTTTGGAGGTGAGTGGGTCGGGGCAGGAGGTTGGGAGGAGAAATGACCCAAACAATGTATGCAGATGTGAATAAATGAATAATAAATAAATAAATAAATAAATACTCTGAGTCCTATTAAAAAAAGAAAGAAAAAGACAACTCTTAAAATATTTCTGTGCAGCATGCATGAAGTTGAGGATGCTTCTTTATCTTCTGACGTTTTCAGAAGATGATTCATGGATTTCTTTCCTGTTCTCTTATTCCTACTGGAATTTCTATGGGCTTCACAACAGTGCACAAGCCACCAAAATACACAGTCTCAGACACATTGTCAGACTTCTGTCAGAAAATCAATTCTTTTCTTCTTAATCAATGTGAGAAGAAGCCAGCCATCCATGTTCAAAAGGGCCAACAAGTTGTTGCATTAAGGGGTGCATAGTATAAGATAATAATATAATATTTACCATAGAGAGGTAAGTAATAAAGGTTACAAGTCTAATGAGACATGTAAAATGTGGTTACTATAGAAATAGGATTGAAATTCACAACATGAGAACAAAGGAAAGCTCAAAACTTATTTGAACACACTGTGTACATCAACAGTATGTATCTCTAGGAATCTATTGAGCTGTGTAAATCCTAGCATAATCTCACAAAACACCAATATTGAGAATATCATAGAGTTTATCACTTTTATAGAGACACTCTTAATGGAAGGGGAAGGAATGAACTCTGTTGTTTTTCAGTACTCCTAAAAATAATTCATTTCCCTAACTTTTTAATTGCATTAATTCCAAAGCTAACACTTTCCCTTCTGTGAAAATTGTCCCTAATTTAAAGGTAAGAATTCCAAAAATGCTTTGATAGAATCTGCTATTGACTCTAGGTCTCTGAAATATTAGTAACCCCTCCAAGCAAGAGAAGTTAAGAGTGGAACTGCTGTTATGTTCCTGGAAAGGAGGTGGCATGTCTGAGATGGCCTTTGCATTTGTACACCAAGTACTTCCTGTTTAGGCACACAGCAACTTAGAGGAAATGTTAGCAGGTACTTTAAGGAAAGGTGTTAATACATATTTCACCTACAGAGAAAGTTCACATGGACAATACAATTGCTGCCCATAGCTGTGGGAAAAATACTGCTTCAAGATCCACTGTAAGGAATGGAGAATAGCTGGGCACAATAGAACATGGTGGTGATCCCAGCTATTCTGGGCATGGAGGGAGGAGGATCTTGAGCTCAAGGCCAGGCCAGACACAGGTAGCAAGACCCTATCTCAAGAACTAAAAACAAAAGGCCTGGAGCATGGCTCAAGTAGTACAGTGCTTGCTGCAAACACAATGTCTTTGGTTTAATCCCAGTACTGTAATCAATCAATCAATAGGAGAAGCAACTAATAGTTGTTACACTGTACTGAGTATGAGGGAAGCTTGTTTTCTTTTAAGTTTTCACCACATTTCTATTAAATCAAGTGCACACTTTTTATTATTAAGGAAATGGAAACAGAAATATTGTTAGTATAAGGTCATAATCCAAGCACTGGAGTGAGAGTTCACTCAGCTGTGAGTGACTTTAAATCGGCAGTTAGTCCACTAACTCTGTTAATTATTGGTCAATATTAAATAGTACTGTAACTATTCTATCAATATGTGAATAATAATAACTCCAAAAACTGATTTTTTTAAGGTCATATGATTATTATTGGTCAATTGTTTCCTAAGAATGTACCTACTCACCTTTTAGCAAAGTCCTCTCTAAAACACACTTGAGATAATATCACTACCATTTATGTAAATTATCCTAGCAGGAGCAAAACTGGTTTGTGAAAATTCATCATGGAAATTGGTGTGTTGATAAGAAATTTAAGTTTTGAGAAAAAAAGTCAGATTACTCAAATTTTTCAAGGTACACAAATCTATTGTATTTCATATCAGTGTATTTTCAGTAGAAATTGAATTAGTCTGTCTTAGAAAATATGTTTATTTGCAATTTGTCAGATGCTTATGTTTTATGTCCTTCTCCATGGCAAATATTTATGTGTTACCAGATTTCTTCAGGAGGATTTTCTGGTTTTGTCCTTAGTCAATGCTATGTGTCCTCAGAGAAAGGGAAGTGGACAGTGCTCAAGGTATGGTGGTCTTTATTATTCACCTGTTCACCTCAGCCCCACCCTAGAGATTTCAAAGGATGAAAGAAGATGAGTCCACCATCCGGCTTGAGAATTGTCAGTTTACTTAGAGATCAATATCAGCAACATCATTGTTTTAGAGGTGTATAACCGGTGTTCCCTGAGGTCTAATTTCAAACTCACTCAGCATTAACAGTCAAGTATGTTGTTTGATTGTGTGTGTAAGTAACATAAAGACTATAGAAGAAGAGTAAGTTGAAAGATGGTAGATGATGATAGATAGATAGATAGATAGATAGATAGATAGATAGATAGATAGACTGACAAATAGTTGATGAATATAAACCTTTGCACCTTTCATGGTCAGAAGATTGTTTTAGCTCGAAATTTAGAATTTCTTAATATCTATTAACATATTTGAAGATGAATACTTTCTAATGACAGTCTTAAATTTAATGGAAATTTCAGAGTCCATTAAGCTTGAATCTAACTTTCAGTAGCATTCATCTTTGTTTAATACTACCTACATGGCTCTACAATGATCTTTTTTGCTAATCAGAAAATTTAATTTAATAAATAAATTCTAAAACATATTTTAATTAATGATAAACTACGTGCTGATTTTACAGCTCAGTGATCATTCCAAAAAATTTAACTCTCATAAAGTCCCAAAATTTATTTTAGAGGTTTAAGCTAAAATTGTAATTTTATAATGTCTTTTAGAAGCGTTTCTACCAAGGATTGAAAAAATTATTAAGCATAATACAAAGAAATGGTATGATTATATCATTTGTATTGAAAAATCAATTCAATTTGCTACCATTTTCCAATTTTATAACTTAATCTTTGTTATGTAGTGTGATGATTCTTGATGCCACACTCAGATTTTTTTCTGTACTAATGGGCAGAAGCTAACATCCTGGTGAAGTAACATTTTTCTTACCTTTCAGCTGCATTACTCATGCCCCTCTTATGAAAGTAATATCCTAAGAAATTATTTGCATAAAATTCCCTCTCATACTCTATTTCTTGAAAAGTTAATCTTGACGTGTTAGCTTTCACTTTGGAGCACAAGTTCATTTATATGTGGCTAAGATTTGCACAGTTTATAGTTTTTAAGTATATAAATTTATTATATACTTTATACTTTTCAGTTTCAGACATAGATGTTAAATTTCAATGTGAAAGTCAAATTCTACAGGTGGTATTCTTTCTCACTGCGCTCATTTGTAATCTGTCCTTCTCTCTAGGTTATTTCAGAGGACATGTTGTATAAAATGGATGGAGGAAATCATTCAACATTGACCACTCACAGAACATTCTGGTCTTACTCTTCATGATACTTCTGCTGCTTTGTCTGATCATTGGATCTGGAAATATTGTCATCATGACCTTAATCATCATTGACTCTCATCTCCACTCCATGTACTTCTTGTTGGCCAACTTGTCCTTTGTTGACATGTGGCTTTCCTCAGTGAGCACACCTAAGATGATCACAGACTTTCTCAAGGACAACAAGACTATTTCCTTTGGAGGCTGTATGTCCAAGATCTTCTTTGCTTATTTCATTGCTGCAGGTGGGATGGTACTTCTGGTGGTAATGGCATATGATCATTACATGGCCATTTGCAAACCACTTCAGTACTCTAGCATTATAAGCCTGAAACAGTACATAAAGCTGGTGTTGATTTCCAGGACCCTTGGCTTTGTGCATGCCATGAATCATCTGGTTGTGATTGTGCATCTGCCTTTCTGTGGCCCCTGGGAGATACCACTGGTATCTTCTGTGACATACCACAGATAATCAAGCTGGCCTGCATGTATTCCCATAATTTGCACCTTTTAATGGATGCTGAATGTGGGGTTGTTGGTGTAACCTGCTTTATTCTGTTGCTGATATCCTACACATATATTCTCCTCACTGTTCAACAAATCTCTAAAACTGATGCATCTAAGGCACTGTCTACCTCCCCTGCCCACATCAGGGTGGTGTTGCTCTTCTTTGGACCTTCATTTTTATCTATGTGTTTCCATTCAATATCACTTGGTTGGACAAATTTCCTGCTGTGTTTTATTTTGCTTTTACACTTCTCCTAAATATAGCCATTTATATACTGAGAAACAAACAGATGAAAAATTCTATGAAAAGATTCATAAGCTATTACATAGGTTCCAAGGGAAAACCTGGTCCCCAGGTAAGTACTTCACTGTAAATATTTCAAATTAACAACACACTGACCTCATAAGATAAGTTGAAATCAGGGAATTTCATTTGTATGTATGATTTGTTCCAGTCTACATATACAGGGATAGATTTAACTTAATTCTGGGGATTTAACATTTACTACTCAACCAACCAAACACTGTGAATTATTTCCGTAAAATTTAAATATGAATGACCTCTCCCTATGAGGAAATTATTCATTCAATCTGGTTTTGTATGTCTTTAGTCATTTAAACAATAACCTAAAATTCAACACACTCTTATATCCATCTCTGTAGATAACATCCTAGTAACTTCTCATAAAACATTATCTAAACTCCCATTTTAAAATATTCTTCATGTTTTTGACATAACCCCACAAATTTTTCACTTACTCTTTTTCAAAAGGAGGCATCATTATTTTTGATTATCCAAGCTATCTACGAAAACACTAACTGTGGGAGGGGAAGGGCAGAAGAAAAACATTTAAGGGGATGAAGTGAAAGTGATAAACAACATGCAGAATAACCCGGGTCTTTATTTTGTGTTGCATTTCAATGAATAAATAAATCAAACCTAATGCTATTTTTCTTAGTTATCTCAGTCTCATGTCCTAAAATTTATTCTCTAAATTATTATTTACCATTTCTGTAAAATTCTGAAATATAACCTCCCTGAAGGCAGTAACCATGACTTAGATGGTTAATTTTTGGAATTGTATTTCTTAATACAATGGATGATACATAATAGACACTTAATGTATTCTTGAGAAATCAATGCAGGCAAATTGTTCCATTAAAATACTTCTAACATCTGTTTGTAGAAGAATAATTAATATACTTTTGATATTTAAAAATAGTCTTAAGTATGGCAGAGTGGCTCAAGTAGTAGAGTGCCTGCCTAGTAAGAGTGAGGCCATGAGTTCAAACCCCAGTGCTGTCAAAAAATAAATAAATAAAAATAAAACAAATTAGTATGAAAGTTATCAAATATATACCAATTATTTTATTTCCTCAATCCATTAAATTGATTGAAATTTATTATAAGACCAATAAAAGTCTCTAAAAGGAGATCATATGTACATTTTCTCTCTTCATATGGGAACAAAATGCAACAAAATGATAAAATAAAGAATAATGCATTTCTCATTTTTGAATGCATAGTCTATATCATCATGTTAGCTATATTATTACTTTAAATGCTTTTATTATTGTCCCAAATTGTGAATAACTAAAGAAAACTTAGAAACCAGACTTTGTGGTACATGCTTGTAATCCCAGAATTTCTGCCTTAGAAGGCAGAGACAGGAGGTTGACAAGTTCACGGCCAGCATGGACTACACAATAAGTTTCAGGACATCCTCAGCTGCATGAAAAGAACCTGTCTCAAAATAAGTTTAGAGATAAACATTAAGTTTCTTTAGGTTAAACAGGCATATATGTTCTATAATTAAAGACTTCAGAAAACAATTTAATTCCAAGACTGTTCCTTTTAAAATGACATTTCACAATGCATTAAAACATTTAATTACTTTTCTTCATTCTCTTCTCACTCTAGAGACAACCATCTTTCAGTCTCTTCAAAGTTTATTTCTTTCCCAATAAACTTTACTATCTCTTTCACTACAGGAAAGAGTTAAATATTTGTTCCAAAAAAAGTTAAAGTATAAGTCATTCCAAAAATAAAATGCATAACATCCTTATTAAGCTCATAAAATAAAAAAATTACTGTTGGTAATGTCACAATTTACCATCTTGTTGGATCATTCATTGTAAATTATGATGATTCTGATCATGCAGACTAGTCGTATACCTGAGCACATACCAGCACACATATCAGTAAAGGATTGAAAAGCCAAATTTCCTTCTTGGCCTAACCTCAGTTCTTCCTCAGGGGTAGGCAAAGACAACTACTTAGTTATAATCACTGTTCTTACCCACAATGCTGAGTATCTTTAAATCTCTATATGTCCTTAGAATGAATGTTGAGGATTTTCTCTAAATTTTCTTAATATCTAGAAAGAAGTGTACAGAATGAAAACCATACCTTCTATCCTTCTATAAATTGACTCATCTGAAGAATACCCAAATGCCACATGCTCAGAATGAAACCCCTTTTGTACAATTAGTTAATGCTAATAAAAAACTGGACAATCACAAAACATAATGCTATATGCTCCAAACTAAAATATTTATGTGCTTTCTGCCTGCTATTCAAAGTTAGTATTTACAAATTAATCAGTCATGTTCTCTTTAATTCCCACTAGTTTTATTAGAATTATCTTAACATACACTAATATAAAAGAATTACAAATACACACATTCAATAGACTAAATTCCAATATCTAATAGCCAATCTTGATTCCCATTTTAATGAAAATACTGTCTCTTCTCATGGAAACATTTCTTCCTTATAAACCAAGGCCTCCAATCCAACAGAGCCCAAAGATGCAGGGATGTAAAGCCAAACTTTTGTGAGTAGATAAGAAAGTACAAGTGAGGGGAGCTACTTCCCTCCTGCATCTTCATTTACAAATTCAGGAAATGAAGATATTGCTGTTGGGCTGAGCAGTATAGGGTAGCCATTTTAGGATCACAGCCCTTCCCCTCGCAGATGGCTTGGTGGAAACTCCCACGCAAAGATAAAGGATAACAACTGTCCCTTTGTCATTCTTTGGGGTCTGGTGGGAAGTTTCCAGTAGGCCACCTGTGAGGGTAAGGAAGCCTGATCCTAACATGGCTGCCTTTTACTGTTCACCCTAACGCTTGTCTCCCATGAAAGATATAAAACAGTTTTCAATATGTTATCTCCCCATTTTATTAGACCATCTATTAATGGGTGATCATGCATGTGTTCAGATTGATGAACTCCATGGTCATGAGACCATCACTACATTACATTTGATAAATTCTTAAATCTAAATAAATTGAGTATGGATAAATAATGTCAGGATGGTGAATAAAGCCTTGCATAAGGCATGAGGGTAGTATAAACTGAGGGATTATGGTAAAGAGGAAAAAGACTATCAAGAATACGTGTTCACTCATCTGAGACAGGATTTTACTTCCTACATGGTAGAGGGACCCCATTATATTCAATCTGCTACTAATCCCTGGCAGGTTCCCCAGCACATTGGCCAAATTAGGGGCTCAGAATTAAAGAAGCATATCCATTTCAATAGCAAGATCACACTTTGTAATTTTGTTGTGTAACAATGTATGACTTCATACATTAATCATTTTGTATAAGAACTTATTGCTCAAGAAATAATTGAGTGGCTGGGTCTGGGCTAAAACAAAGATTTCATTTGTCCAACCTAATTATTAAAGCATCCTGTATAGTGGATGCATTTGGCCAGAATTCAAATTAGATACCTTTATGTTCACAATCTTTTTCCATACTGAGCAGTGTATCACCAGCATTCTTTACATGCTTCTTTGTCTCACATCTCCCAATCCTATTCAATCTCTAACTTGAGCATCTAACCAAACAGTCAGCAACTGTTCCTGAATTAGTACAGATGCAGCTTGATTCTAACCAAACAGTCAGCAACTGTTCCTGAATTAGTAGAGATGCAGCTTGATTCTAGCCAAAGAAATTGAACAACCAAACGTATTTCCAACCAAATGTTATTATCTCCATTTCTACTCAGCAGAATGTCTACACATCACTGTTACTCAGGGCCACAGCTAAAGAGGAGGTGATGATTCCAACTTTGTTCTCTGAGGTCCAGATACTGACATGTCACAAACCATACAAGAAAATAAAATTACCAACCAATATCCCTAATAAAGGTAGATCCAAAAAAATCAATAAAATGAAAGCAGAGTTTAATTCCACATTGAAGTGATTATGCACCATGCTGAGTGCACTACCTCATACTTTTCACTTAGAAATGTAAGAGATACATATATTCCCAAACGAAAATGAAGAGAACCTATGTCCTCTAGACTTGTCTAAGAAATGTTGCAAGAAGTTTTTCAAACTAAAGGAAGAGACAGAAGAAAGAAGAGAAAGACTAAGATATAGAGAAGTGCAAAACTCATAGATAAGAGTAATTAAGCAAATAAATCAGAAAGTCCTAATGTTACAGCCATGGAGTATAAACCATTTTAATTATTATAATTTTTCAGTGTGAAAAACTAAAAACTTTTAAAAAATATGCACATTAGCCCTTTAAAATATAATATTAATGTCAATGTAGAAAAATGTATAATGAGTCATAAAAATCATTAGAGTCTAACATAGTGTCTGGCAAGTTATTCAAGAGAAGTTTATTAAACACTTTTTGCAGATTGAATGTGACAAAAGGATTAATGATTAAACTTGGTTTATTCTCCTGCAGGTTCTCTATTAATAAAGATTTTGCCAAAATGAAAAATATCAAATGTGAGGAGGAATGGAGTACAAATGTTGTTTTCAATCATATATTTTCTGTTTTTCATGCTTTACTTATTTTAAAGATCATCTAATGTTATCATTTCTAGATGGATTGCTAAATCAAAAAAGGATTTGCAATCCTCATGATAACCACAGAGCAAAAAAAAAACTGTAATAGACAAATCAAAAATAATAAGCAAGGATCCAAAAAGCACTATTAAGAGTAAACAAATCACAAAAGAAAACTGTGAGACAGAAAGGGAGAATGGAAAAAAAGAAAGGAAGGAAGATAGAGAGGGAAATAAAGAAAAGAAGAGAGAAAAAGAAGGAGGAGGAGAAGGAAAGGGAGGGGAGGGAAGCAGAGAAGGAGGAGGATGAGGAGAAGAAGGGTGAGGAGTTTATCATAAACTTTAATAAAACAAGAAAAATGTTAAAAATCTCTGTTGGAAGACTTTCCCTATTTTAACTATCTTAAATATAAAAGGATTAAATTCTACAATTAAAAGGAATAGAAGAGATAGGGTGATGGTAGACTAGTCATTAAGAGTCACTAGTCTGAGAAATAGAGCAGGAACAGCAAGAGAACAAATACCCTTTGATGGCATAAAGGAACTGAAGTCAGTAGTGAACTGATAGAACCTTATTTTTAAATATAGAATTTGAGGAGTAGAACTGGGGATAGAAAGATACCTCAACAAACAGAACATGTTGGGTGCAGCAGCAGAGGCCAGGAAGTGAGGTGAAAGAATAAGAGCATCGGAAAACACACATTTGTAAGTCTTATATATAAAAACATACCAGAGAATTTAGAGAGTAGAGCAAAAGGAGAGAAAGAGAGCTCCAGCAGGCAGAACCCATTGCCACAGCAGAGGGTAGAGAATAAAGAAATAATGAGAGATTCAGGAAAGGGTTAACACTGGTCTCAGTAATGACTAGAATTTCAGACTAACCATACAAGAGTTCTGCAATCTGCACAGCACACTGGAACTAGATAAATTCTGTCTTCTCCCTGGCATTTTGTCACAGTGTAATAACAGGAAGGCAATTTGAAAAATTTCTACCTGGATCGGCAGCTTTAAAAGACAAAGATCGCTACATTTTCCTATCTCCAGGAATTTCCAAAAAGGGTCATGTACTAATCCAATGAGTGCTCATCAGGACAGCTGGTTTTGCAATGGGGAAAAATTTGAGTCAAGGATGCAGAGAGCTCTAAATGGTGGGAAACTTGTCAGAGTCACAGAGGAGAAAGAAGTCACTTCCCATTTGTTGCAGTCAATCACAAAGCTGTTAGAGCTCCATGAGGGAGAAACAAGTCATTGCAAGTGATGGCCTGGAGGAGGTAAGTTGTGGAATGTCAGAGACACAGAGGGTGGAGCACACAGAACTCCTAACCAGAGCTGCCAGAGACAAAGACTGGCCAGCAGAAAGTTTTCAGTCTACCCCACCAGGTCCTGAGCTGCAGAGAAGCCCAGAATAGTTATTGTTGGTTCTTCCTATAATCCATACCCTCTGGTTTACTAAAATAATACCACAAAGGAGAAACACAAAAGGCAGATAGTGAAGACCAGGTGGTGCATAGCCAAAGTGGCCACAGAAAGACTTAGTGAGTACAGGTCAAGACCTTTCACTGAAGACCCAAGATTGGCCAGAATAAAGTACTAGAAACCTGTCCTTTTACAAAAGAAATTGCCAGGTGCCAGTGACTCATGCATAAAATCCTACCTACTCAGGAGGTAGAGATCGGGGGATCATGGTTCAAGGCCAACCCAAGAAAATAGTTTGTAAGAGCCTATCCAAAAAAAACCATAACAAATAAGGGCTGGTGGAGTAGCTGAAGGTATAGGCCTTGAGTTCAAACCCCAGCACCACATAAATATTTTCAATTTTAATTTTATTCTCTCAATTTTGGTGTGATATTTTTTGTTTGTGCTCTATAGGATTTTTCATCAGACATATTGGTTTAAATATTTGTGTATAAATATTTAAAAATTACATAATTTCCCTTTTTTCTCTTATTTGGATTTTCTCTCTCATTTCTTCTCCTTTTAATATCTAATTTCTTTGTCTACTTTTGTCCTGTCCTCTTTTCTTTTTTGAGATAGGCTCTGACCATGGAGCCCAGGCTTGCCTCAGAATCCTGAGTGCCGAAATTGGAGGCAAGACCCACCAAACCCAGATTTTGATATTTAATATTTAATCCTCTCTTCTTCCTTCCTTTTCTTTCTTCTTCCCTCATTTTGTTCTTTCTTCCTTCAGTTAGAACAGTTTTCTCTGTCTTTTGTCCCTTCATTCTCTCCCCTTTTAATTTTTTTCTTGATTTTTGTTTTTTGGTGGTGGTGGTTGGAGTCTTTCTTCCTTTTTATTTTCTCTCAATCTCCAACTATCTTACTCACCCCTTCTATTTACTTTTCTCTCTCAACTTTCTCTTTTTTCTAATATTAGTGTTTTTATTCTCTTCATTCCCATCTTATTGACTAATGTTTTCTTTGATCACACAGTATTATATTTGCTCTTTTTTCATATAATGCCCTTAGTGTTGCAGTGGTAATTGTTTTAGTTGGTTATTACTGTAATTCTGCAGCTGTTTTCTCTATTAGTTGTGGTTGCTATTACAGATAGTTTTCGTCTCTCTGAGTGGTGACGTGGATTGTGCCCAATATAATTAACACATCAGATGTCTCTTATTTGCTCGTGAGAAACTACATGAACCATGTTACAACCTGATTGCTTTCAAAGAAAAATGAGATATATTAAACTTCCAGCCAATGATTTGGTCCCAGACATGCAAAACACAACAAATATGAAAGGACAAGTCAGTGTAAGTCCTTCAAAAGTTCACAGCTGTACAGTACCTGACTCTACTGATAGCAAAGTAAATATAATTCTGGAGAAAGAATTCAAAAGAATGATTAGAAGAGTGATCAATAATTTAGAAAGGACACAAATCAAAACCTGAATGAGTTCACAGGGAATATAAATAAACATCTAAATTAAATAAACAAGACAGTGTAGGATAAGAAAGCAGAAATCAATAGAGATTTTGAAATTTTAGAAAAGTAATGCTCAATAAGTCAAGTTTAAAAAAATTTTTCAGTTGAATTTCTCACCAATAAACTGGATTAAATGGATGACACATTGTCAAGGCTGAACACATAGTAGATTAATTAAAACATTCAGAAAATAATGAAGAAAAATAAGGAAGTACTAACAGAATATATAAGACATCCAGAACATCACAAATAGACCAAATTTATGAATCATGAGCATAGAAGAAAAAGGAGGTACAAGCTAAAGAAACATAAAATTTCTCAACTCTTCAGAAAGATAGTTTCACCAGGTATAGGAGGTTTTTAGAACCACAAACAGACATGAATAAAAAATAACCTTCCCATGTCACATGAAGGTTAAAGTATTAAGTATATAATAAAAGAATACTTAAAACTTCAAAAGAGAATTACCAAGGCATATATTAAGGCAAACTCACCACAATAGTAGCACATTTCTTTTTTTTTTTCATTTTTCTTTTATTATTCATATGTGCATACAAGGATTGGTTCATTTCTCCCCCCTGCCCCCACCCCCTCCCTTACCACCCACTCCACCCCCTCCCGCTCCCCCCCTCAATACCCAGCAGAAACTATTTTGCCCTTATCTCTAATTTTGTTGTAGAGAGAGTATAAGCAATAATAGGAAGGAACAAGGGGTTTTGCTGGTTGAGATAAGGATAGCTATACAGGGCATTGACTCACATTGATTTCCTGTGCGTGGGTGTTACCTTCTAGGTTAATTCTTTTTGATCTCACCTTTTCTCTAGTACCTGTTCCCCTTTTCCTATTGGCCTCAGTTGCTTTAAGGTATCTGCTTTAGTTTCTCTGCGTTAAGGGCAACAAATGCTAGCTAGTTTTTTAGGTGTCTTACCTATCCTCACCCCTCCCTTGTGTGCTCTCGCTTTTATCATGTGCTCATAGTCCAATCCCCTTGTTGTGTTTGCCCTTGATCTAATGTCCACATATGAGGGAGAACATATGATTTTTGGTCTTTTGGGCCAGGCTAACCTCACTCAGAATGATGTTCTCCAATTCCATCCATTTACCAGCGAATGATAACATTTCGTTCTTCTTCATGGCTGCATAAAATTCCATTGTGTATAGATACCACATTTTCTTAATCCATTCGTTGGTTGTGGGGCATCTTGGCTGTTTCCATAACTTGGCTATTGTGAATAGTGCCGCAATAAACATGGATGTGCAGGTGCCTCTGGAGTAACAGTCTTTTGGGTATATCCCCAAGAGTGGTATTGCTGGATCAAATGGTAGATCGATGTCTAGCTTTTTAAGTAGCCTCCAAATTTTTTTCCAGAGTGGTTGTACTAGTCTACATTCCCACCAACAGTGTAAGAGGGTTCCTTTTTCCCCCGCATCCTCGCCAACACCTGTTGTTGGTGGTGTTGCTGATGATGGCTATTCTAACAGGGGTGAGGTGGAATCTTAGTGTGGTTTTAATTTGCATTTCCTTTATTAGTAGCACATTTCTTAACAAAAACTTTAACATCAGTAGGACATGGGAGGTAGTGCTTTAAGACTGAAAGAAAATAAATATCAACCTAGATTACTTTATCCAGCAAAGTTATCCTTCAAAATCAAAAGATAAGTAAAGCCCTTCCATAGTAAACACAAATAAAAGAATTCATGACAACTCAGGCAGCACTGCAGAAGACACTTAAAGGAATCCTACACATATAATGGAAAGAGAAACGTACTATGGAAAAGAATAAGTCTCATAGAAGAGCAGATAAGCAAGTGAGGATTGGGGAAGAATCTGACATCACAAAAACAGCAAAATGAAAAAAATGGAAAGAAAAAAAACCAGCAAAATGACAGGAATTACTACATACCTTCCAATAATACCTCTGAATGTTAATGATCTCCACTAGTGAACTGATAGATATAGAATGGGAGGTTACATTTAAGAAAAAAT